TTAAACGGTCTGTGTTTAATGTCTTCATATTGATGCATGGTCATAGCAACCGGATCGATATCGTCTTCATGTACGTTGTTTATAACAAAGTTATAAACTCCGTCGAACTCTCGACATTTTACCCTCATATCGCGAAACTTCGAACATATTGCATCAAGATTACGACTTCGACAACCCATTAAATCATGGAAAACGTTTTCAACTTTTACCCAAAACTCACTAGATGTTCGACTATCTGAGTATTCCGAAACCGACACCCATGCTAGTACTAAGTTATCTTCTTCCTCTTCTGACCAATTCATCATTTTGGGAGCCATTGTTTTTGAAAGATCAAGCAACAGAAGTGTGTGATTGTGAATAAAAAGAGAGAAAAATTGTGTAAAATATAAGGAATTGTGTTGTGATATTTATAAAAAAGTTTGTAGGTAAATTTTTTTAAAAAAAGAAAGATATTGAGTAAATGCCTACTAGCAGTTACACATGGACGAATTTTGATTGGACATTTTAATCCGTGTTGTTGAGCATGATGGGCCACGAGCACAACGAACCACGAAGGTCCGGGCTAGTGTGCACGAGCCACGGTCGTGGCCACCTAGACCACGAAACCCTTTGTGGTATACATACCGGAAGGCCTCATAGGGTTATTTTTAATTATGCGTGAAAAAGTTTTGACTTTTATGATATTTGCCTTGGAAAAAAAACATATAGGTTTATATTTTCCGAAAAATTTCGAATATTTTTAAATATCAACATATTTTATATATAGTTGAATCTAGTTTTTAAATATCATATAGAAACTTTTAAAATATCATATTTATTTAAATTATTGTTTTTAATATTTTATAATTATTTTATCAATTAATTATTATAATTTTATTTAAGTTTAAGTTTAAAATATCATTTATATCTTTTAGTTTTTAAAATATAGAATTTATCGAAATTATTATTTTAATCGATATTTTATTTACTTTACTGTTTATTACTCTTATACATGCCCCACCCATCAATACTTCTAGCTTCTTAAATTGGGCGTTGGTTAGCCTGGACTTTGGTTTTGTTATAATAACTATCGTGATGCAAGAAGCTGTTTTAATCAACTCTCCCCTAGCCATGCATATATATATATATATATATATATATATATATATATATATATATATATATATATTTTTTTTTTTTTTTTTTTTTTTTTTTTTTTTTTCATGTTTAAGCCTTGAAAATCTTGCATATAAACACCCTTAGGGCCTGCCGAATGCAACCTATGAGTTACGGGAATTAAGTGAACTAAAATACCCCCCCCCCCCCCCCCCCCCAAAGGCTAAAGCTACATGCAACCATTAGCAATCTGCAATCTAACAAGAACTAGTAAAGAACTCGCGGCTACGCCGTTTTGGGGTAATATGGAAAAAATCGGCCAACTTTAAAAAATATGTGCTGAAATTGTAAATCACCATAAATAGGGGAGAAAGTCGACAACCCCTAAAATTAGATGTCAAAAGTGTACAACGAAAAGAAGGGACATTGGTGGAGAAAATCCAAAAATGTTGTGGCAATTATGTTAAAGTTGTCAAAGTTGGGAAAATATGGTGGCAATATTTTAAAGGAAGTTTTCTGTGTTTTTTATGTCAAAATGTAAAGTTTTGACTACAAAGACGAAAAGTGTCAAATTCATTAAAGATTTGTGGCAAAAACACCAAAATGTAAAACCTTTGACTGCAAGGACTAAAGGTGTCAAAGCCATTAAAGATTTGTGGCAAAAACCTTAAGGCAGAAAAACTTAATTAAAAGGCAAAAATGTAAAATTTTTGACTTTAGGGACTAAAAGTGTCAAATTCAGTAAACTTTTGTGGCAAAAACCTAAAGCCTAAAAAGGTACTATTCCTAAGCTCCTTTGGATTTAATATATATATATATATATATATATATATATATATATATATATATATATATATATATATATATATATATATATATAATGCTTGTGTAATACAGTTAATAAAAGCCAAGAGTGAGTTTACAACAGAAAAAGAAAAAACATATGTGGTGGATTAGGGCCGGTCCTAAGGATTCAAATGTCCAGGACGAGATGCAAAAAAAAGGCCCTTAGGCCATAACGTGTAACGAATTAAATTATATAAATTGAAGGTTTTTTTTTTTTTTTAACAACGATAAGTTTTAGAAATATGTTTTTTCTCATGTGAAAGTCTAAATCAGAAGTTGTTTAGAGCAACAAACTTATCTTCAAATCATATAAGGATATTTTATCAAACACTTTGTGAACAACAAAAAGTTACGACTTATACTCAAAGTGAAAAGGGCATAAGTTTCAGAAATCTACTTTTCTCATGGGGCAAATGCTATAAAAGCCTTTAAATTTTCTAAAAATTATCGGTTTTACCCTTTGCTGTTTCTTGGATTCATTAAAGCTTGAGATTTTCTTTAATGAGTTCAGTTATTGCATTTATCAGGTTTTACTTATTTTTGGCTGTTACCCTCATTTGAAACAATTCGACATCAAGCAGAGGCAAAATCTATGACTGCATCAAAAGGCAGCAAAATCACAAATTTACAAAAGAAAAACAAAATGGTTTGCTAATGCTAGGAAACTGTGATGACAAGATATTGTATCATTCAAGCATTTTGGGTACTCCGTACTTCATCACTTGGAAAGAAAATGAGTTACATTGTAATTTTGGATGTAAGATTGGTTACGTTTAAGCCTCAAACCTTTACCTGTACATGAAGTGATCCAAGACAAACACTATTAACCTAAAATTTGCAGCAATCCAAATTTATTTACTGATTAGGGAAACATCCAAAAATTACTTAACCCCAAACCAACAAATTAATCATCGGAATAACATTACGATTCACCACAAAATTAAAATTGATTCAACCAAAAACCATTAGAAATACGTCTCATAGCCTAAGAGGAAAGAATTGGTAATAATAATCAATCGACAGAGATCATATTTAGGTTAAATTTGATACAATATCTAACAGTAAAGAAGATCAATCGAAGCATCTAGTTTTTGTACTTAGACGACACTGATAACGAAACTGCTAGAGATACAAAATACTATGATATTGTTATCTCGATTGAACCGAGAACGATGGTATCTGGAATCGGAATCACGACCCTCGCGACGAGATCAGGAGTTTGAAACGCCGAAGTGTATAACATATAAAAAAATGGGCCCCTAAAATTTTTGGACCCTGTTCCACTGCCCATCTTGCCCCTGCCCTACACCGGTCATGAGCGGATGCTTCTTGGTGAACAGGTACTCTACATGCCTGTTTAATTATTTATTATAACTAAATTAGAGTGCTAAAGTACATGTGTATTAAGTATATATACATACGTTTATGGTTTGCGATGGAAGTGTGTATCGGTGGAATTCAATGTGTTAGTATTCAGATGATACTAAAAGAACTTATGTGGCATTACTGGAATGTAAGCATCGAGTCATATGGTTTCCCATTGAGCAGAACATTGTTTCCAATCGAAGAATGAGTTGATCATTGAAGGTCTTGAAACAAATGTGTTGTGCCAGTTATTGGTTTAAAATTTAAATTAAACAAAATATATAAGTCATTGTCATCAAGAAGTGATAGTAGATAAAGTTTATTCACTCAAATAATTAAATATTATATATCTAGCCACTTTACTTAAAAAGCTTATTTGTCAAAATTTCTCATTTTTATATTTGAAATATTACTTTTAGCAAGCCATATTTGAAAAGTTTTGACTAATTTTAAGCATAAACGTAAAAAAAAAAAAAAAGAAGCTATAATTAAAATCAAATGTACTTTAGTGATAATAATAATAATAATTGAAAAAGAAAATCAAATCAAGGGGTACAATAAGTAATAAGCGGATGCAAGTATGTAAAATTAAATACAAGCATATAGAAAAACTTGATTTGATGGAAGAAAAATTAAATATTCTCCTACTTTTTGTTCCTACATATCCTCCTACCCAATAAAATGATGACATGTGTAACATTTAATGAAATTTAATGATATTTTAGGATACAAATATGACACATGTCATCATTTAAATGGATAGGAGGATTGGTAGTATCAAAAGATAGGAGGATATTTAATTTCTCTTGATGGAATCACAATTGATTTAATTGATCTTATGGGAGATAAAACTAGTAATGAATGATACAAATTAGGTTTTTTGGTAAGAGACAATGAGATGTCTTGTAAGACCATCCACGGCTCATTTCAACTTATTTTGCAATGCTACCTGTATCACATTTGATGCCACGTGAAGTTAAATCTTGCTATATTTGCGAGCCTTGCAAAGAAATAATGCCCCGCATTTAATAACATGTAATCACTTTACCTGTTTTAATGATTCCCCACACAATAGTTGTAAATTGTAATATGATGCGTAGTAGGCATTTTTTTTTTTTTTTTTGCAGTGACTTGAAAGAAGATCGGTGTGGGTTCTCTAATAATCAATTCTTGCATTACATAACTCCATTCAATTTGAAAGAGATGGTTTCTTCTTGCTTAAAGAATGACAACCTAAACCATCTCCAACCATAACACCATTTTTCCATTTTTTGTATGATTAATCCCCAACCTTACTATATTTTTAGAGTAATCTATTCATTACTCCTTTTGTTGGTGTTGGATTGGAGCATTTTGACTCGATTTATGATGTTAACACTACGGATGAAGTTGGGTTGGAAATCCCTTAAGGTTGCTTTTGTACCAAAGAATATGATTTGATGATACATAACTAAACAAGCTTTTATGACTATTTTCGATGATGAAAATAAAAGGGACATATTCAGAAGATCTAGAGTGTGCCTTATATTTAGTCTTAGTCCTAGTTTGAGTCCAAATCAACTCAGAAACAATACGACATGTCATATCATGTTTTGCTTAAAAACGAAGCTAATCTTCTTCCACAACCCAACCCTAATCAAAACACCATAACAAAGAACCACTCATTTCGAGAAGCACAATCTACATTGCATAATGGAACATTATCAAAAATAAGAACAAGTAGATTGACAATCTAAAAGTCACCTAATGATTTAATAATAAGAAGGCTACACATACCCAATCCCAACACACAACTTGATATTCATATACTACTAAATTACTACATTGCCATTGCCATTGCCATCGCCATCGCCAAACATAAATATTTTGGGCGCCATCATCATCTGGTCCTAATGCTTAATAAGCGCCATCTAAGCAAAATCCATTTCATTTCATTTCCCAACCTACAAACTACAACTTCTTCTGCAAATAAACAAATCACAAAATCGTTAGTTACATCAACACCTTTCTCAGTCATAAAATTATTAACATCTCCCTATTGAAGTTTCTCCCATGATAGATATGTGGGGCTAAATACAAACCAATAACAACACAATGTTTGTTTATTAATTATTACCACATTGTATTTTCAGCTTTTTCTTTCTTATTTAGGCATTGTAGTTTAAAAAATCTACCCAATAACAGCACTGAAAATTGCTGTGTGTATTTAGATAACATTGCTATAGCTGGATATAATTTTCATACTACAATGTTGTAATAGGAAGAAATTAAAATAGCATGCTATATATAAATAACAAATTCATAAATCTACATTGCTATTTCTTGCATTTAACCGTACAAATTCATAATTATTACTTCCTACTGACTTCACAATACTAACTGCATCAACAATTATCTAATACATCTTAAATTCTACTAATTAACCTTCTTTCAACCATCTCATTCTCATGAAATATTGTGCAAATAAAAGAACAAAAACCATAAAAAGATAGATAGCTTACCTTTTACAGAAGGGCGCCATTTGGTATGCAAAATCCATGCAAACTTTATGTAGACCACTAGCAAAAAGTCCCTTTGCACCTCGCCGACCCACACAAACAATTTTTCCTACGGGGCCCACCTTTATCAGCCTGTACAATTCCATAGTTAAATGTCAACTCCTGCATAGGAGGAATATGCTTTATCGCATAAAACCCAACATGAAAATACGATTCATCTTGATTTTCACGAATAACAGGTTGCCAATACACATTAGGTGAGCAGCTATGGTTCATAAACCTTCCCACATTCCCCTCATTTTTTGCACTAATAACCAAAGGATATGGAAACTTTGCAGCTTCATCCCTAGGGCTAGTTTCCACAGCATCAAAAGAACGAGTTGCATCAAAAATGTAATTATCATCATAATCGATTCCATTTTCTTCAATCACTACACCTGCATATTCACATATAAAAGCCCCTGAACGAATTGGGTCCCACGACCTAAGTCCCCAACCTCTATCCCTTGTTTTGAACACCTCCAAACGGAGTTTCAAACCTGCTTGTGAAATTCGGTTCCTGCAGTTAGGAGGGCATCTACAAGAACTCCCACACTCATGAATCAATGTGTTGTGACTCAAAAGAACACCAAGAGGAGTGTAGGGTATATACCCTCCATTCTTTTCAATACAAGGGCAGTTATAGCCAGGTTGGCATCCATTCGCGCAGCTGCAGCTTAAAGATTGGGTTGAAGGGAAGGGATTTCGATACTTGAGGCTGCGTGAATACGTGAAATAAGCGGGACCCTTTTCGTTATCCACATCGTTTACAAGAGAAACAGGTACTTTTTCAGCACCAGAAGTAAGGTCAGGGAGAATAACACCAGCCCTTGTAAGACCACCACCATTTCCAACATCTTTCCACTGTTGAATTGATTTCCATAATGTAAATGCTGAAGGTTGTCCTGCAATTCGAACCAATTTGTACTTAAAAACATTGCAACCAGATTTCCCTTTTTCAATCCAAGATTCGTGTATTCTGTATAGTCCATCATAGACATAAACTTTCCCAGTTGTATGTTGATAATCTTTAAGACCACGAATAACTCGTACCTCATTACCCCTGTGTAAGCTTTTTTCAAGAGCAAGGTTACCCCTTATTAGAAGTTGATCACTTTGTGGTTTACCTCTACTCGAGACCCCACCTTGCCCACTGTATATCAACACATCACCATCATCCCCTTCATCTTCATATCCTCCTGCAGAGACTATACTCACAGCTACAGGCTCTTCAGCTCCAGAGAATTTAACACTCATGTAATCTATCCCTGCCATACTTGGAGCATGCAATCCCACCAAACACATTTCAAAACGAAAAAAGAAAATGTCACCAATTTCAACACCAGGTACAGGTCCAACCCTCTTCTTGATATTAGCACGAGCCCCTTTGCTCATACAGATAGTACCTGCCCTTAAGTCTGGACGTTTTGCTGACCCTGTCATGCCTTCTTTTGTGTCATCAAGTTGTGTGATTTTTCTCCTGAGTAGATTATATACCATTAGCACACGATCAGCCAACTCCTTGTCACTGTCGCATTGACGGAAGCTATCAACATCCAACAGATTGAAAGATTCCAACAGATGAGTAACAAAGGAGTCAATGTCAATGTCAGAATTAGACACAGCAATTGTACTCTTGACTTTTTTACGGGTTACTCTTCTTTTGTCATCAACTTCACTGCCAGTTTCCATATCCTTGCCAAAGCTGTTATCATAACCATCACTCTGACTATATCCATCCTCATCTACATACATGCGACTCCTGATGCTCTTTTTTGATGTCCCTATGTCACCATTTTTAACATCTGAACCTGGTGTTCTAAAGGAATTTAAAGGAACTGGTGATGGGATAGTGTAAGGCCTAGGATGAGGTGGTTGTGGTTCACTGCCTTGCTTTTGAGATACGTTTGAGGCAAAGAAGGGGAAGAAGGGTGCAGCACCAGGTGGAAAGGGGCCCGTTGGAGGGACGGATGCGTACTGAGATGAGGGTGGTGCAGAAGGGTCTTGTGGTGATGGGAAAATTGGGACAAGACATCTTAATGGCTTAACAATCAAAATCTTAGTCTTGTCCGCAGGAACAGGAACAGAATCAGAATCGGCTCCGAAAGCTTGTTCCATGGAAATCACAGAGATTCAAAAACTCAAATTTTCACAAAGAGAGAGAGCCACAGTTATCATTACCTGAAAAGAAAAACGTGCATTGCAGATTCATTCCATTAGGGCAACCAAGCTCACAAAATTTTCAATCAACCAAAAATCTGAAACGAGTAAAATGCAGACTTGAACGACAACTTGCAGAAGTAACTATCGTACAGAAACATTCAAATGGACTCGGATACAAAGCATAAATAACATCTAGGTTTCTGTCGATCTCCGGATTTAACACACATTAGAAGAAAACCTCAAATCATTTTAAAACCCTAGACACACAGAGATCAGAGAGCGCATGCAGAAACACATAATTGATAACTGATAATACAGAATTAGAGATACAAAATTAAGAAGAAGGAACGAAGATCTGAGGGGGAAAGACGAAGAAACTAGGGTTTAATAGTGCTATCAAGGACAGAAATGAAACGAAAACATGAGAATAATTTAGAAAAATATTAGATCCATTTTTTCCATCGTCAAAGCATAAATTATCAAAAACGTAGGTGTAAGATGATTAGAATTAAAAATTAAGAATCATGAAATTACCTTCTGGTTTGGAATTTGGGGGAGAGAGGACGAGGGAGTGGTGCAGCAGAAGTTCAAAATGAATCAGGTTTATAGTTTTTCACGTTTTTTTCTCATTTTAACACACCTGCTTTCTTCTGTATCCCTTTACACAAAACATTTCCCTATATAAAGCATCTTTGTCTTTTTTTTAGTAAGGTAATTTTTATTTTATTGTAACAGACGAGACTCGTGTATTACACGGGTTTATTAGGAGGACCAAAAGTAACTGTGTGAGCAAAAAACCATTCACTTAAGTTTTGGTAACCATAAAGACCATGTTAAAAAAAAAATAAGTAATGACTGAGTTTATAACCTATGGTAAACTACATGGACCATTCATGTAATTTGGTATTAATTAATCTATACTGATAAAATTTATTAATATGAATTTACAAATAGAATGTACTCTCTGCATTAATATACATATACATTAATTAATATATTAATGTAAAAAGGAATTCACAAATAAAAAATTATTATATGCATTAATTAATCTATTAATAAAATTAATTAATATGAGATGACATTTAATAGGTGGCATTTGAATAAAAAATAAAAAAACTATAAAAATTACAAGTGAATATTAAATAATTGAAAAAATCTAGAAAATGATAAATATCAAAATGAATGAGAATAAAACATTTGACAAAATCATTCTTATTTATTAGGATAGATGTTTTATTCTAAATGTATTAAAATTTCTAAATACGAGATTAGTTGAAAATTTATTTCTATGATAAAATAATCGATAAGAGGCATGTCTCGTCAATAAATATTTAATAAAAATGTTTCATAAATAAATATTTAAGTTTTATTATATGATACTTAATATAAGTTTTTATCTTATACAACTTTGTATTTGTAGGTTTTAAATTTTATACAAGTTTAACGTCTTCATTAATCTATGCAATCAAATAGTTTTGGTATGAATTATACAATCATGTTTCAAAATGGAACGAGGATTAATGATATTAATTATATTATCATAAATAGCCAAATAAGTATAACTTAAAGTTCATATGAAATCTAAATGGGTTTAATGAGCTCATACAAAAAAGTTTCATAAATTTATCCACTTATACGATAAATGATTTTTAAAATGAATTATGGAACCACGATATCAATGAGAGTATTTACATGTTTTAAACTTTTAATTAGTCATATAAGGTAAATGACATAAAAGTTATTAACATTTTGACATTGTTTTTTTTTTAATAATTAAGTCACTGTTTTTAATTTATTGTAATTTTGACTAATTAACCGGATGGCCTGATTACCTATAAGTCCATCCAGGTCATCGTCTGACATTATCCCCTTCACCATACGAAACCCTTAGCTACACACGACACCTTTTCCCCACATTCGAAACCCTTCCCCACAAACGTCCAGGTGGAAATATGTAACGTCCTGATTTTCAACCAAAACTTTTTATTTTTATTTATTTAAATATATCATCGTATAATTATGCGGAAACATGTTGCGAATACGTGGGTGTACAGTCGGGTCTTGCCTTCTCACGAATCAATGAAGTACCTGAAAAATATTTATATTCAACTGGGTAAAGCACGAAGTTTTGTGAGTTCCCCAAAATATCATATACCACAATACATATACATGCATACAAACAATGGCTCACGACCTTTCGTCGATCCACCAATTGGCTCACGACTTTTCAGCGGTCCACTAATAATATGTGTATCTAGACTTACGACATACTTGTCATTTCGCCGTCAACACTTGGGTCTATAGGCTCCTGACCTATCGTCGTTCCGCCGTCAACCCCTACTCTAACTGTAACGAATACAATAACAGTTGCGCACATAGAGACTACACATCCGGCTCTATTCATACAGGCACCTTAGAGACTATACAATTTACTCTACTAACATTATGCATACAAAGACTATTCTACTAGCTCTTATATTCTAACATACATGGATACATAATGTAATACATAGTATAATGAGATAACTCACTTGGACAATTACTCAGACGATTAACAATTATCTATATAATCCTACTACAATCCAACAGACGGGTAACACGCCTAACAAGTATTAACCTATAATACTATAACTTATTATTCTTTATGACAATCTGGTAATGAAAGCTAGATCTTTCACTAATTCTAATGAATATCGATAGTTCTATCAAATAAGGATCAGTCGGGCAAGAAAGTTGGAAGGCGTGATCATTTCAACATATAGCTTTTCTAAAATCCAACAACCAAGACAATGTGACCATTCTAGACACCTCTCTCGTAAGTAGATCAATCAATATTATGATTGAAATTACTGATAAATCTTATTTACACATTCATAATAACTTACCACCAGGATACATGGCAGCTTCGGTGGCCACTCCAGCCAACTACCAAAGGCGTGTTGCGCCTTGGTATGAAAGCAGCGCATCCTCCATACTAGCCTATATATAGGAGGTTTTCCCTATTTATTTTGTGCACCATTCTCTCTTGAGAATTTCTCTTTCACCCACGAGCATTTTGGTCCATCGTGATTCGACTTCTCATTTTGTAGTTTCAGTAGTATCAATAGTGAAACGTTGGAGGTTTCGGAAAGATAAAATGTAGCACCTGGTTCTTGGTACGTATTCTTTTATTTAATTCTTTAAATGTTTTGTAATTTTGGCCTTGGACTCGGCGAGTTGAAGGACCAACTCGCTGAGTAGAAGCGAGTTGAGACGCGGGGTTTAAGCTGTGGACTCAGCGAGTTGGGTCCCGAACTCGGCGAGTAGGCCCTGTCTGGACAAAAAAACCCTAACCCGAGGGTTTGCACCCTATTTAAACACCTTAACTCGGCCTCCTTCATCCCTTTTACTCCCAGAAGACCCCCATAGCAAACCCTAGCCGTTATTGAAGCAATCTAAGGCATTTGGAGTGATTTTGGTGCTTTGTGACCCAAGGAAGGAAGGAAAAGCTTGAAGGATCAAGAGGAGGCTAGAAGGATTTGATTTTGAGCATCATTTCCAGTCTACAGAAGGTATAAAGTCTATACCTTGCTTGTTCTTTTGTTAGATCCCATTTCATGGAGTTTTAGGGCTTTTCTAAGCCATTTTGGTCACCAACCATGATTGCAAGCATGGTTTGGGGTTGATGTTTCGGATCTATTTCCTTAGAGGGGTTACAAGGCAGAAAGGAGTGGCTTTTGCACTCAAAGAAGGCCCCATGCATTGTAAGAGCTTGTTTTAGGACCTTTTGAGCTCAAAGTCCCATGCAAGCACGTAAAGGTTGTAACTTTACGTGCTAGATCGATTATATAAGCTTGGATCTATCTTTTGATCAAAGGTTGTACATCAGAAATCAAGGATTTAGAGTGTGGACATGACCGACTCGGCGAGTCCGTTCTTGGACTCGGCGAGTCCGAGGCTTTGAGCCCCATATCTGTTAAGGGTCAAGAACCCAGTTAAGTGTGGAAAGGTTTTAGGGAGGTCCCGGGGAGTGACCCAACGTTCTGGACTAAGCCATTGTTCTGGAAGTTCATGGAACTCGGCGAGTGCACGAACGGACTCGGCGAGTCCAAGGCAATCTTCTTAGAACTCGACGAGTTGTTCATCAACTCGACGAGTCGAGGACAGAACTTGTTCATCAGATAAAGGTGGACTCGACGAGTTGTTCACCAACTCGGCGAGTCGGATGAGTTTTTCATGTGAGGTTCATATGAGAGAAGAACTCGTCGAGTTGTCGGCCCAACTCGACGAGTGGAGTCGTGTATAAGGACAAAAAGAAGGATAGGGACTCGACGAGTTGGCGGCCCAACTCGGCGAGCCAGGTCAACTGGAAGTTGACTTTGACTTTGACTTGACTTGATCAGAGGTAAAATGGTCATTTTACCCAAAGTGTAGATATCAGACTCTGATTGTGTGCTTTGTGGGATTTATAGCCGGAGGATTTCCGGAGCAGCAGCAGCAGATAGAGAATTCCCGCACAGATCAGCAGCTGCTATGAGGTGAGTTACCTTCCAGTAGTGGTGGGTCTACGGCCACAATGCCGGCCCACCAGTAGGAGTTGTATGTTGGGTGATCGTCTTTGTGATATCATCTAGGTTTGCTACTACCTGATATGTTATGTGCTAGTATGATATGATGTTATATGCTAGTAGCAGTCAGGGAGATAGTCCCCGGGATTTCCGGTCGATAGGGCCGAAAGGGGTAGTCATACCCAGTCATGTTATACAGATTATGATTATGTGATATATGTTATGTGGTAGTAGTAAGGGGGTGAAATAGTCCCCAGTATCCGGTCGAAAGGACCGAAGGGGAGGCCAGCACCCAGATATGCTAGGTAGTATCCGGTCGAAAGGACCGAAGGGGAGGCCAGCACCCAGATATGCTAGGCAGTATCCGATCGAAAGGACCGAAGGGGAGGCCAGCACCCAGATATGCTA